TGGGAAGCTGCAGCTTTCTGGTGGTCAGCCTCAGACTCAAGAGCATTCCAACACCCAACCATGGCTCTTGTACCAGTATTTCCAATTAACACACGGGCAGTGCCACACCATACAGCTTCATTTCTGTGAGCTAATTGACTCTTAGGGGAGGTGGGGGAGGGGGATTGCTCATACCCATTTGTTTTCTCCATTCCATACCCTGGCTTGGAATTGCCCTCCCAGCACAGATACTTCTCCCCACTGGCTGTAGAAGGCCCAAGGAATTTACTGCTTATTCTTCATCACTACCTGGCTTTTGCTAATGAACTGTGCATTTCCTTATGAAAGGCTGGACAACCTTTATGGCTTCAGCTCTAAAGGTTGACACCTGCCCCTACCCTATAGGCCCACCTTCTAGAACCCCGTTTCTATTCACTGCTTCTCAATCCAGTTTCTCTTCAGTAGATTCTGTTTCATCAAGTAAACGAAAAGATGATCTCTCACTCACATGTTGTATTCCCAAGCTCTTGTGTCATGCCTTACCTGCTCCTGGCTGGCCTTGCTCCCCACTGCGTCCAGGTCAAGTGATCCTACATGCTCCATGTGGTTTCAGAACAGAGCCTAGTCATCTCGCTCTTGGCCTCATAGGTTTATATGACATGAAACCATTTCAGCGGCACAGACAACTCGAAGCTGCCTCCCAGAGTATCTCCCACAAATACACCTTTTTTTTTTTTTTAAAGTGAACGTTTTGGTCTTCCCTAGCCTTACCCACCATTCAGTATGTTACCTATAAATCAATGTGTACTTCATTATAGCAAAGTTCAAGACTTGGTTAAAACACCATCTGAAGGAGGCAGTGTTCTATAGTAGTTATGAACAGAAATTGTGGTTCTGATGATGTGACTTTGGGCAAATCACAAAGCTTCTCAGGTTACAGTGTCCTGCCTCATGAGGTTGTTACAAGAATAAGAAAATGCATTAAAGTGCTTTGCGGTGCCTGATATGTAGTAAACCCTCGTAAATGGTAATTTCTGGGATGGCTTTTGAAATCTCCAGTGTTTGTATGATGTGTTAAGGATGCATGCTGAGAACCTCAGAGAACAACAAAAGATTTGCTCTGAAATTGTTCTGTGCAATTTCTCAAGGCCACTTAAGTTCTTCAGGAATAGATTAAAACCTCCAACTCTAACCCCATACCTAGCATTATCTCCTTTGACTCCTACTGGACAAAAATAATCGGTGTCGAACCCCTGGCAAATGTTATATCAAAAGGTTCATAGAGACCAAAGAGTGATTCTCTGCTTTACTTTACTGAATTACTCCACCTCCCCTTCCCCTACCATACACACACACGCACGCACGCACGCACACCTGGCATTTTTAGCAGAAGGTCTTGAAATAACTTTTGTGTACTAGTATTTATGTTAATTCTTGTATTTGTACTTGACTGAGCGTGATGGAGTTTAGCTATAAAAACTGTCAGGTGTCACACCTCAGACACACCTGCTGAGGTCTTGACCCCCCAGTGCTGGGGAGAAGTGAAGTGAACCAGGGCTAGCGACACTGATCCAGCCACAATGATTGGCCCAGGAGAAGGCAGTCAAATCTTGTATTCACAGTGCTCCCTAAGCACATGACACAGTCATTGTATCATCAATCACAGAAGTGGTCAGTCCATGACTACCGGCGGAGCTAGATGAGCGCATCAAGCAGGAATTCTAAGACGGTGCCGGAAGTGTTCACAAGCTAGGCAATCATTCGATGGGTGGGGGATAAGAGCTTTATAGGGGCAGAATTCCTGTGAACAGATGGAGCTTGGCAGACTAGGGCCGGCTGTAGCTCCTGAGGGGAAGGCCTAGAAATAGCTGGACAGTATGTCCGCTGAGTTTGTACGAGACTTTAGTCACAGTAGGAAGTGGTGATTAGACAGATGGAGCACAAGTCAGGCCAAGGATGGCAGACCAGAGCACGTTCCTGACCCCACAGACCAGACCCAGGCAGGAAATAGGGGCAGTGGGATGCGCTGTGACTCATGCTATGACTTGCTGTGTTCCAAGCCCTGACACCAAGAATAAGACGGGAGGGGATGGCATTCTAGGCTTCCAGAACATTATTTTGCCTAAGCACTTTTTCCGAAGACACTTGAAGTGTTCACTTTGTTATGATTCTCTAAACTGTGTATGTGTGTTTCATGCGCTCTGCTGTCTCTATGAAATATCTCACAGTAATAAAGCATTTGGAGTTATAACGTTGGAAGGGTATTATAGAGGCTGTTTATTGTGTTTATAGGTACTCCTGTTACTGGGCAGGTTTGCTAGTAAGAACATCTTGTAATCTGATTCTGTTTCTCTGAACTTGTTAGGTCTTTCTTAAAGATTTATTATTTTAAAATTTAGAAATATTTTATGAACCACACACAGTATTCTAGAATACCGAAGGATTTTGTGCTTAACCTCCTTCCTGTGACCAGGAAGTCACAGCCTTGAAGATGTTGAAAGAAATTTTAAGGAATAAAACTCATATGACTTTTAAAGTTTATACTCAGAATAACCTAAGTTATGCCAGTTCTATATCTGTTCAAATATTTTTTTCAGATTTGTAATCAAAAATCACTTTCATCATTACAAAGAAGTATAGAGATAACTCAAAATAAAATAGAAACATTATACTCTCGTTACCTGGATGATGTTAACTATTAGTCCTCTAGTGTGTATCCTTCTAGATATTTTTCTGCATGAATTTTTATACCTAAATGACACTATAGGGCAATTTTACATTTATAATAAAATGGAAAGGAAAGAAATGTGTAAATTTCTTATTTACACATGAATAACCTCTCCCATTATCAAAGTCACTCACCAGAACAGCACATTTTTTACCAAGGATGAACCTACTCTGACTTATCATAATCACCCCAACTCCATAGTTTACCTGAAGATTCGCCCTTGATAGAGTACATTCTGTAGGTTTGGATAAAGAAATAATGCCATATGGCCATTATAATATGATACTGCCCAGGTGTGCCTGGGTGGCTCAGTCAGTTGTGTGTCCTACTATTGATTTTGGCTTAGGTCATGATCCCAGGGTTGTGGGATCAAGCCTCACATTGGACTCCATGCTGAACATGGAGTCTGCTTATGATTCTGTCTCTCAAATAAAAAATGAAAATAAAAATAATTAAATTAAAAATGTAATAATATTATACTACCCTAAAACTCCTCTGTGCTCTGCCTACTCATCCCTGCTCCAGCAGCCTCTGGAAACCACTGATCTTTTGATTGTCTGCATAGTTGTGCCTTTTCCAGAATGTCATATATTTGGAATTATACAGCATGTAACCTTCTCAGATTGACTTCTTTCACTTGGTAATGTGCTTTTAAGGTTCCTCCATGTCTTTCCATGGATTGATAGCTTATTTCTATTTAGCACTGAATCATATCCCATTGTCTGGATGTACCACAGTTTGTCCATTCACCTACTGAAGGACGTCTTAGTTGCTTCATAATATTTATATTTTGTAATCTACTTTTTCAGTTAATGGTTTTCCAATCACTGATTTTTTTTATCTGATCTGGAGCTTAAGTCAATGTCTAAACTGAAAAAAAAAAAAATCCTTTTCAGCACATTGGTCCAATTCTGGGACCATATGTTGCACTTGGCTTATGTGTTAGTCTAGAACAATCCCTATTTTTATGACATCAGACTTGAAGAGACAAAGCCAGACATCCTGCAGAAGTTGCTGCCTTCTAGTTGCTGCCCTATAGTATTGTTCAACATGTTATTCTGTTCCTTATATTTACTATGAAGTGGAATCTGTAGTTGTGGTAGATTCAGGTTCAACATCTGTAGTAAAAATACACTGTAGATTATGATACGTTCCTTTGTACTGTCCTGCAGTGGTATAATGACAACCTCATCCCCCCACGTGTGTGTGGTTGTATTTGTCCTCTTGCCACTGGGAAGTAGTCTTTGTGTTGCTATATGGCCATCATATTAATATCCAATTCCTTTTTTTTTTTTTTTTTTTTTTTTTTTTTTTTTTTTTTACAAGGAAGCTTTACACCCAACGTGGGGCTCAAACTCATCACTCATAACCCCCTCAAACTCATGTAATCAAGAGTCAGCACCCCACATGACCAATTCTTTATCCAACAATTTTCCTGATGATTTAAACATTAAGTGACAGCCCTTGACTAAAGAAAGAATTGCATTAGGGGGCACCTGGGTGGGTCAGTTGGTTGAACTCCTGACTCTTGATTTTGGCTCAGGTCATGATCCTAGAGTCATGGGATCAAGCCCCATGTTGGGCTCTGTGCTGAGTCTGGAGCGTGCTTAAGATTCTCTCTCTTTCTCCCTCTGCCATCTCCCCTGCTCAAGTTCTCTCTCTCTCTCTTTCTCTCTCTCATTCTAAAAATAAAAAAAAAATACATTAGGGATATGAAACTATATTTTCTAAGTCAATAATTCTATTTACACTTGTTAGCTCATATTTTCTGTAGAGATTTCTGTCACATGGTGGGACTATTAGATTACCCAGAAAAAGTTTCTTTTAAATTGCCAGTTTTCAAAGTAAGAAGCTGTATAATAACCTCACATGAGATGTTGGAATACTTGAAGCATTTTTTAAAATACTGTGGTCACTGCAAATATGATTTCTTGAGCACTTCCTCTGTATCAGGCACTGTGTGAAAGGCTTTATGGAACCTAATTCCTAGGACAATACACCAAGGTTTTAGAGATAGAAATGGCAATCTTGCATGGTAACATAATGTGTTAGAGTTACTCCTGTGAGAAGTAACGGAACTGGGATTTGAACCCAAATCAGTCGAAGCCCACAATCCATGCTTAATTCCTTCTCTACGTTTTTGTCGTATTTTACTTAAGAGCCAAATTCTATTTGTGATGCTGTTTGGAACGTTTCCCAGTTTATCAACAGTAGAAATGAAAATGATGCTTAATAATTTTCATGAGGTCTCTTACCCTTCCTTTTTTTATTTTGTTCTTAATATTTTTAACAGTGTGAAGAAAACACAAATCTTCAGGATACTACCCGCTACCTCAAACTTCCCTTTTCCAAGGGCATCCTCCTTGGAAATAATCATCAAACCATGAAGGCCACAAAGGAGTCTTTTTGGATAACATCTTTTCTCTGTTCCACAAAACTCACACAGAATGGTAACGTATAACACTGTTTTATTTGAAAGCCCTTGTACTTAAGTACTCATGTGAATTTTGGTAGGCATATTTAATAAACACCAATGTTATATTTAAGAACTTGGCACTAGAAAAATTGTCAGTCCTTCTGTTGGTGATTTCCAGTAAAATGGAAACATTTGTGACCCAACGGTCTGTTAAATGCATGTAATTTAAGAACCTCAAAATTATCCCAGCATCGAAACCCAAGTGTACAACCCTTCAAAACCCAGCTGCTTTTAAAAAAGAAGAAAGAAGGAGAGGCAAAGACTACCATTACCTTAATCTCGCTTGTTTTATAGTTCCATAAACAAGGCTAATTGCAGGCTTTGGAATAAAGGCTGTTTTTTGTTTAATTAGATGGATATTGCTTTTCTCTTCTAAAATACTTTTTATGTCAGTGATTGTTTAGCAAGTTATGATTAATAAAACAAGCTCTTCTCCTTGGAAAATTGTCGTGAAAACATCATCTGCAATGAAGGAAGGAAATGAAACTTTTCTGAGTTCTGCATGTTTGCTGTGTAAGGCTTCTGGCTGGCATCCTGAATGCCGTATTAATAAGTCAGATTCATTATGATGAGGAGAATTACTTCATAATCAGGTATTGAATCTCATAAAATGTTCCTGTGCCTAAACATTTGTAAGTTCTCCTAGTTCTTTCTTCTGTGTCATAGAACAGCATGTGTAGTAGCAAGTGTATTTCTTCTCTTAGAGCATGGCCTCAGAAAAGCAGCAAAATGTAGCACTATGATGTTGGCTTCTTTTAAGAGACTTCTCAACTTCTCTTGCAGTGCTGCTATATTTATTTAGGACTTTGGCAAATGATTCTTTCACATTTGTATTAGTCTTTGTTCCTCCTCTTCCAAAAATATTTTTGGAGAAATGTTTTTAAAAAAACAACTGCGTATTTTCAGTAAATTTGGTTGAAGAGAGTTAAGAAATGTCAAGATGTTATCCATATTCAGGGATTGGTTATTTTAATTAAATAAAAACTTCACAGACATAACTCTGTAATGTTCATAAAGCTTTCACCAAAACTCAGTTGATTTTTAGGGTGCCAGTCTAGAGATTATGAAGATAAGAAAATCAACCTGCTTTGACTCACTTAGATAGAAATTTCATTTATCCTATGTGGATTAGTTGTGTGTGTGTTTTACAGCCCGGGTTCACATTTAACTGATTGCCTCTGGTGGAGTAATTTCAGGTTGTATTAGTTATCTTTTGTTCTTGTAACAATTACTGTAAATTTGTTGGCTTACAACAACAAAAATGTATCATTGAGCAATTCTGAAGGTCACAAAAGTGAAATCCTTTTCATTGGACTAAAATCATGGTGTCAGCAGAACCATACTTCTGGAAGCTCTAGGAGAGAATCCTTTTGCTCACCTTTTTTAGCTTCTAGGGGCCACTTGTATTCCTTGACTCGTGGCCTCTCCTCCATCTTCACAACAAGCAGCATAGCATCTTTATATCTTTCTGACTCTGACCATCTTCCCTCTGTTAAGGATCCTTGTGATTACATTGGGCCCACTAGATATTCCAGGATAACCCCCTATTTTACGACCTTTAACTTAATCACATCTGTGAAATCTCTCTTGTTGTATAAGATGAACGTATTCATAGGTACCAGCTATTATAACATTGACATCTCTGGGGCCATTATTCGGCCAACCACATAGATAATCCTAACAATAGCTTATCTGCTGTCAAAATATTTGGCCCTGCAGACTTAATTTGTTGTTGTTCTCCAGTTTAGGATGTTAGACAGAATTGTGGACATAAGACAGAACCAAATCCTAAAAATTAGAAGTTGTTACTTTGTAAAAGCAGACAACATTTTCAGGTAGATATGGATAAATAAAGCCATTCACCAAATCATTATGTTAAACATTTCATTATATGGAAGATAATGCTTGGCTCATTTTTGGACACTAATAAGTACTTAATTGTTGGTTTGACTTTGATTACCCTTGTGAATGTAACAGAGCTCAGAATGAACCGGGAAATAAATACTGTATTTCAAATAGATGGGAAGGAGGAAGGAAATTAGTTGATCTTTCTGAAATTTACATGCTAGGCACATATTTCTGTGTGGAAGTCATCCAGTTCCAAATTGGAATTATATTGCTTTGTATTCATTTTACTCAAATTGGAAAACATACAAATCCATTTCCAGTACAATTGGGTATTTAGCAAGTGATACGGTCTCTAGCAACAGTCTCCTATAGCAGCTTTGCATTCCAGGATCCCTGAGGTGTGCCTTTCTGCACATGCTCTGTAGTCCAGTGTTGTTCGCGGGCAGCCTACCAAGGCTGGGAGCGCCCTGTCGCAAGTCTGTGACTGCCAGATCAAGCAGACATTTTAAGATTCTTGAGAGTAGGGGTCAGGGAAGAAATTATTGTACTTCTTTGTTATCTTCCTTGGGCTGTTAAACACGACTTTAAAAAAAAGGCTAAAAATAAAAAACAGTGCTTAAATTTAGCCTAACAGCTGTACGGTTGCTGACTTCCCCAAATCTCCTTCTCCCTCAAATAGTGGGTAGTTCATTCACTCTCTTCCTGAGAGTGTGATTTAAAAAAAAAAAAAAATAGGGATTATGTCATCCACCTGTTTTCTAGCTCTTGGTAGACTAGGCATACAGCATACTCTTAAGTGCTTTTTGAATAGAACGTTTAAAATACACATTTTCAGTAGTAGGTCATAGTTCCTGATTTGCAACTAATGATTCTTCAGATAGCTAAAATAGAGACCCTAAGAGATAACAATTTTGACTTAATTCTGAGCAGTTTGTACACACGATTAATTACATCCAGATGAACCTACTGCTTTATTCCCCCTTTTCTTCCATTATGAGCAGACTAGAGAGTCATCAGATCTCTTGTAGGACAGGTGAATAGCCCCATCCCGATCTGATTGTCTGGAACTGTCATCTGTTCTCCACCTCTGCTGATGGCAGTGCTGTTCCTGATAACTCACAGCTGCCTCTGGGGATACCTCTTTCTGGCCTGCAGAGCCACCTTCTTCCTCTGCACACACTCCATTCCTCAACACTGGACCATGTCCTGGGCACCCCTGCAACAGCCTAGCTCCGAGGGGCAGGCAAGAGAGCAGGGAGCTGGACAGAGTAAGAGGTGGAATGGAGGTTGAGTTGGAAGTGAGGAGTGAGGTGCAGGGAAAATATACTGGGGAACTGTAAGAGAAGGTGCCTGGGAAGGGAGGCATCCTGAAGTTAGATGCAGGAAGTAGGAAGTAAGTGGGAGGGAGGCAACCAATAGATGGGAGAAGAATGCACCTGCTACGTCTGCTCTGGCAGGTCTCACTCTATTGGACTATCTACTATTCTATATATAACCAATCGTTTTTTAAAAGGCACCAGCCATACCTCCAGGATGTCTGAGTTGGACATGAATATTGAACATTTTCAGGCTTTTCCATTATGAAAATATCATAAATATCTTTTTCAAAGTCATTTTTTTTTAATTTTTTTTTCAACGTTTTTTTATTTATTTTTGGGACAGAGAGAGACAGAGCATGAACGGGGGAGGGGCAGAGAAAGAGGGAGACACAGAATCGGAAACAGGCTCCAGGCTCCGAGCCATCAGCCCAGAGCCTGACGCGGGGCTCGAACTCACAGACTGCGAGATCGTGACCTGGCTGAAGTCGGACGCTTAACCGACTGCGCCACCCAGGCGCCCCTCAAAGTCATTATTTTTAAAATTCCCTCATTTTTAATTCTAAACCACCCCCTGTTTGTTGTAGATAAACATTTCCATTTAGTACTAAATTTCTCACTATTAAGTCCTTTGTGAACTTTTCTCTTGAATCTGGCTTTGGTGAAAGTTGTGTCTCTTCCCTCTTAAGATTCATACACTTTTTCTCATCTCTTTTTACTACATCACATTTTCTTTTTCATCACAACTGCTTCTTCCTTGATTTCCTGTGTGTGTGTGTGTGTGTGTGTGTGTGTGTGTGTGTGTGTGTGTGTGTGTGTGTGTATCCTTTTGGTTTTTGTTTCCATGTTGGTCTTTTTTGTCTCTCAGCAAGTCCCATTTGGGTTTCTCTTGAAACGAATGCTTTCAACTGGATTTCTCACTGTTAAGCCTGGAAAATCCCTCTTAGCTGCTTCCTTGGCTGTCCTAGTCTTGCAGCCCCACTAAGCCCTGGGAAGCCAGCCCTGCCAGGTTCCTCTGCTTTTTGAGCTTCCTGCATACACAAGCCTTGTTAGTTCTTACTGCTCTCATTGGACTCCAGACACGACTGTCTCCTTGCTCCCTCTGGGGACTAGTGAAGCTGGATACCATGTTCAGGAACCTTTCTAACTTCTGCCCAGGAAAGCTGGGGGAAAAATTTTTACCCTCACCAGGTAAAGAGGTTCTCAGAGGACCCTGCTAGACTCGGGCCAATATGTTGTCAGTTTAGGAAGGGGTGGAAATTGAAGAGCTGGGTCCTTCCAGATAGAAGATGACCATGGAATCCAGGAACTGGCCCTCTCAGGTCCATGGGCTCATTAGATGATTCAACAGTTGACTAGACCTTTCATCATTGTGCAAGGGACCTTCTAGTCCTGCCAGATCTGGGTCACATTTGTCAAAGAAGACCTTTATTGCCAGGTAGAATTGGTTGCTAGGGAGAGTGCTGTGGGGGGCACAAATATGAGGAAAGCAGATTCCTGACCCTCAAGAAATTCCCATTTTAATGGGAAGAGGCAGGAAATGATTCAACAAATACTTATCTACTGCCTGCTGTGTACCTGCTCTATACTGGGTGCTGGGATACCATAGGACCAAACTCAACATTTTTTTTTCTTAGAGTTTACAATCTAGTAGGGGTAAAGACAAATAAACAATTGTAATAGTGAGGTCAGTGCCACTCTGAGGTGAGGGACAGTTAGCTCAGTCTAGAAGTTTCAGGAAAGACTTCTTATTCTTAGATGAAGCAACAGCTGATCTGGGAACTGAAGGTAGAGTAGGAGTTTGTAAGTCAAGAGCCATTGAGAAGGGATAAATAATTAGAATATGCTGTAGTGAATGCCATCTTAGCTAGTCAGGGTCTAGGGGGGAACCTGAAGCTTGGGTGACCAAGAGGGGTAGGCAACGTGTTTAAGAATCTAGCTCTGCCGGTGGAAAATGTTCATTTGAGGGACTGTCCTCTACCAAAGCAGCTAACCTTCATTTTCTGTTTGGAAAGGTGATATGCTTGATCTCTTGAAATGGAGAACTCACCCTGACAAGATCACAGGCTGTCTCTCTAAATTGAAAGAAATCGATGGCTCAGAGATAGTAAAGGTATATGTTATTGTGTTGTCCCTCTCTTGGAAATTCATGAAATAGGGACTGTTTGGAGGGGAAGGACAGATGATTTTTTATTTATCAATTTACTTCTTTATCTAACAGTTTCTGCAAGATACACTGGATACCTTATTTGGAATTTTAGATGAAAATTCCCAAAAATACGGGTCTAAAGTGTTTGATTCTTTGGTGAGTTTAAATTCACTTTAATCATAGCTTAACAATTTTGTATCTCATTCTTGACTTTCATAAGGCTGTTTTTGAAATACTCATTCAATAGTGCACGAGTCACTTAAAAAGAACCAAAAAATGTATATATGTCTTGATTTGCATTCAGTTTTACAAAGCTCAATTTTCTTTTTTAGGTTCACATAATAAATTTGCTGCAAGATAGCAAATTTCATCATTTTAAACCTGTAATGGACACTTATATTGAGAGTCACTTTGCTGGGGCACTTGCATACAGGTAAGGCCTTTATCTTGTAATTGGTTTAGAAGCAGTTTCTTCTGAGCTTTGCTAGGCAGAACCATTAGGATAAGAAAATTTAAGAAGAAGTGTAAGAAGAAATAAAGCACAACAACTCAAGGCTCTCTTGAGTCAATATCTTCCTTTCTCACACATCTTTTTTTAATGGCTGCAACTTATTTTGATTAAAAGGAAAAAAAAAACTTTCTGAATTCTCTTCCTAAAACCTGAAATATAAAGTTTTTTTCTTCATGTCTCTATTTCACTTGATAATCTTTGGTCCAAAATATGTGGTTATTTCAGCTCAAGCCCATTTAATCACCACATGCCTTGCTGATTCTGGAAGTCTTTAAGAAAGAAATGTGAAGGGAAAACAGCATTTGCTATCATATCTTTTTAAACTCATTCATTCATTCATTCATTCACTCATTCGTCTGTTAATATTTACTGAGTGCCTACTGCATGCCTAATGCATGCTGATTAATGTGAAGACCTGGTTCCTGGCCACAAGCAGTTCAGCCATGGACTCTACCCTCTGATATCAGCTGCCGTTTTAACTGCTCTTCCTTTCCTATCAGCTCAAATTATGCAAGCAAGGCTAAAGTGAATGAGTAATGACAAGCCATAGCTCGTACCTGCCTCCATGCAGCCTAGCTGATAATTGCCAGAAGGCAACAGCTTCTTTCTGTGCTATGTATAACATCTTCCCGGCCTTTGGCCCTGCTTATGCACAGCCCTGGAATGTTCCCCAAAGTTCTTTCTCCCCATTCTAATACTGTCATTGCTATTCTGCCCACGTTTTTACCTTACTGTTCCTTAAGCACCTATGGCTGTGCACATGCACAATCATGTATTCCCAGCTGTGTGTTAAAAAACACTGAATCATGTTTTTGCCCTTTTTCCCCCATCATGTGATAGATCAAAGATCATAAGTAATCAAATAAGCATTTGATCCTGTTACCTTGGGTACTCCCTAAAAGGCACGTGAAGATTTGTGCCTCCAGCTTTTAAATGAAGGGAGTTTTTATTGAAGACTTGACCCTCTGTCAACAGGATTTTTAGAGACAGTGAATGAAATATCAGGGATAGTTGGAAACATCGGCCTGGCTCTGCCACTTGGCCTAACATGTGGGGCCCTAATATGAGGGGTTACCACTTGCAACTGAAATTAGCATTGGAAGCTAGAGAGGAAGGGTGTAATTTCTAACACTGGATGTTGGCCAGGAGAGCAGGATAGTCATTCCTAAGAAGACAGATATTGCCTATGCAGTCTTCTTGGGCTGTGGATGGTCAGAAACTCACTGATATGTTATCTTCAAAAGAACATTCCTGGTAGCACCTGCCCGGTGGCCCATCCATGTATTCTTCCCTGAGTGAGAGAAAAGAGGAGCATTTTTAAAAGCTTGCTCTGTTTTCCAGAAACCAAGAACTGAGCAGAGTTAAAGGTAGCAAACCTGCAATCTTGAAAATTGGCTTTTTTTTTTAATTCAATTTTTGTTCCTTAAGAAAAAGAAAAGAAAACTTGGCCTTTTTTGAAATTCTCTTACAAAGGCATACTGGGATGGGAAGTTTTGTTCTTCCCAGAGGTCAGAGAATTGGCTTTGTAAACCCATGGGAATGTGATTCGGAGTAGGGAGATGTTCCCTTATCCTTTGCCGCACCCCCCCCCCTTTTTTTAAATGTTCATTTGAGAGAGAGAGAGAGAGAGAGAGAGAGAGAGCGCGCACGCGCATGTGTGAGTGAGTGGGGGAGGGGCAGCACAGAGCTGTCAGCACAGAGCCCAACGCAGGGTTCGAATCCACGAACCATTAGATCATGACCTGAGCTGAAGTTGGACATTAAACCGACTGAGCCACCCAGGTGCCCCTTGCCACACTCCCTTTTGCCTCCAACTGAATACTTCATCCAGCTGTTCACATGGTCACAGGTCATGGGGGAAGAAATCCCAGTTAACACTTGTTCAAGGTTGACCATGACAGCCTACTTCAAGGCACTTTCTTGGCCAGAGACCTTTTCTCTGATACTTGTGTTTACCCGTTGGGAAGCTTTGCCAGAAACAGCAGGGCCAATGGGATATGTCCGTATTGAGGGAATCTCAATGGGAGGAAGTGTTTCTCTCTTGAGTTTCAAAAAGGGGTACTGATGTTGATGTACAATTGCCTATTAAGCATTTCAACAGAAAAATATGAGAAGTGAAGGGAAAAGAGTCCTCCTTATGATAAAAATGTTTGATTTCTTGGCTTTTAACTGAGAGCTAGACCAATTCTACCTTCTGTGTATTTCTCCCTGTATTTTAGAGATCTCATCAAAGTTCTCAAGTGGTATGTGGACAGGATAACAGAAGCAGAACGGCAAGAGCACATCCAGGAGGTGTTGAAGGTAATGACGTGGTGTCGATAACAGATAATGTAGTCTACCAGGGCTGTTGCACCATGATGCCTCAACTAATTGGTTTCTTCTACACAAACAGTAATTGATGATGAAGTATCACCAGCATTTCAGTTCTTCTACACAGACAGTAATTGGTGATGATATATTACCAGCATTCCAATTCAAGGATCTTAATCGGTTTATGCTCCTGAGAGCTGATGAAATTTGAAAGAAACTTTGCCAGGCTCGCCCACTGGATCCTGCCTGGGATTGAATTCTGAGCTCCAGGATACTTGGAGTGAAGTCTAGGAGTGGCAGGAGCGAGGTTTTATGAAAGAAGACCACAGATAAGCAATTAAGCTTGAAGTTCCTGCACCCTGGCAGAGGCCATTTGTGAACGCTTTGTCTTAAATTTTGAGAGAGAATAGGGGTAGCTTAGCAGGGATCACAGTGAGGAAACCTGAGGTTTTACTGGGTCTCATGGTTTAATGCTGCCAAACATCTCTGGGCGTTTGTGCTCAGTTGTAAACGGAGATGCTAATACTTTACTTGCAAGCATGTTCATAAAGACTACAGATCTTTTTTTTTCATAATTTTTGTTAATGTTTATTTGTGAGAAAGAGAGACAGACACAGCGCAAGCAGGAGAGGGGCAGAGAGAGAAGGAGACATAGAATCCTAAGCAGGTTCCAGGCTCTGAGCTCTTAACACAGAGCCCAATGTGGGGCTCGAACCCACGAACCATGAGATCATGACCTCAGCTGAAGTTGGGTGCTCAACCAACTGAGCCACCAAGGCGCCCCAAGAATACACATTCTTAAAGGGATTGTTCAATAGCTGCTCTGAGAATCCTCCGATTTCCTATTTGCTGAGTATCACTCTATTTGATGCAGCAGAAAAAAAAGTAGACAGGTATACGTTTTTAAAAGCAAGTATTTTACTAATTATAAATTAATCACCTTGGTGTGATTGAAGGTAAAACACTAAGTGGCAAGAGTACCTGCCAGCAAAGCACAATAAATTTTCTGAAATAGACCAGCATCTCTCTGTTAACTAAATTAAAAAACTATCTGAGGATCAAAAGCATTTAAGGTTCATACCTCTTGAGAATGACATAGAATTTTTAAATTATCTATACATTTTCTCTCATTAGCGTCAGCAAAAAAAAAGGCTCTTCTTCTACAAGTAAATACTGTTCAAAAATCTCAGGGGCTCTTAAGTGTTTTTAAATCAATAATTCAAAAATCTAATGATGTCCCCTGGTTTTTATGCCATGTCATTGTTAAATACTCTTGGTTTCCTTTGAAACTAACTTTTACAAAATTTCGTTTGAAGGCACAAGAATATATTTTTAAGTACATAGTTCAATCTCGAAGGCTGTTTTCCCTTGCCACCGGTGGACAAAATGAAGAGGAATTTCGCTGCTGCATTCAGGAACTTCTTATGTCGGTCCGTTTCTTTCTTTCTCAAGAGAGCAAAGGGTCAGGAGCATTGTCTCAATCACAGGTAATTTTTTTCCATCTCTGCTGAATAAAACAGAAATGAGTGCAGTTTATTTGTTTTTACATAGCAGTGTAAGTGAATCCATAGCTCCAGTTCCTATTTGTAGCGTCAGCAATTTTGCAGACTTTTAAAGAGTTCCCTAGCTCCCGCGAACCCGCAGAGCAGAAGTTAGGCTGGCTTTCCTCCGCCTACTCTCACTCTTCATGGGGCGGCTGTTGGTCTCAGCAGGCTGGGTTCAGTTCTGAGTAGACACGATGTCACCATCGGCCTTGGGGAAGGAAGTTCACTGGAGCCGATCTGGTTCTGTTGTTTACGCCAACCCTTGCACTGCATTTTAATCTGGCAAGTTGAGACTCATTATATCGCACTTGGCTAAACTGCATGTTGCTTTGTTTTATTTAACTTGACCCTAATCGTCCTGGGACTGATCTTATATGACCAATGCTGAGGGGCAGTTGCCAAATGCTATTACCTGGAGTAGCTCTACGTGTTTTGTTTCAGAACAGGATTTATCCACTTTCCAAATAGCGTGGCCTTGAATGTGTTCTCAGCGATCATTCTCAATATCTTACTCTACATTTTCTTAGTCCTTCTTGTACATTTTTAGTTTCTAGTGACTTGAGTAAAAACTTGTCAGATGGAGAAGCAGCCTCTTTGCTGCCATCCCCTGGAGACTAAAAATTTATAATCACTGAGTATTGGGACATAAAGTGGAAGATAGAAGACAAAACTAGATCCATTTGAGTATTCTTAGAAGTTGGTGCCATTTGACATTTGGAAAGCTTTACATATAATGGCAAAACACCAGAAATGTACCAACCCCCCCAGTAATAGTACTGTGCTTTTTCTGACTTTTGGGGGACTATTCTTGTTAATCTCTTCTTTGCACAAATGGACTGATCGTACATCTGGGCAAGGGTACAATTCAGCCTCTTTTAATGACATTTTGGCCTCTGGTGCCAATGGTACAATCACTGTGCTTGAGGAACTTGCCACATCCCTCAAAGTCCAGTTGCCCACTCGCCAAACCCTCTTTTCAGCAGTTGGTATTTGAAAGGATAATCCAACAAGCCAATCATGTATTCGTTTAGATCAAAGTTCTTAAAACCTCACTACTTTTATTATAAAAGCTGTTGTATTTGAGACTATCTGCCTTAAACCTTTACCGGTTTCAGGGACAAAACTTAGCTGATTCACATCTGAAAAAATATTCTCTTACTTTTAAGATTAATCTTAAGTCACAGTTTCTCGGTGCAATGCCTTCCTAGGGACTCAAGAGGTTTATTCCTTCTCTAAAGTTAGAGAAATCTTTTTCCTTAGTTATGTTTCCGCTGCATCCTGGTAGTCACCCCAAGACGTGGGCCACTGTGGAGCAGCACGGTGAAGAGTGGGTTTCCTTTTATGTTTAACATACTGATTTGCACTGCTCTTGATTCTCTAATCCCCAGTCAAGACAGTGAAACAACTTTAGTACCTCCAAAGAACTATGTTTGAATTTCTCTTTTTTTTTGCCCTTAGTTTTTTATTGACACGATATATAAAATGTATGTAAAGTTTCTGAATATCTTAATAAACTACTGAAGTCATTCTATTATTTTTTGTACAATCCTATACTTGTAAATTTTGATGTGATAATTTCACTTTGATGCTAAGGGAATTCATATAAAATGACGAAGTGGTTAGTTTTTTTTGTTTTTGTTTTTGTTTATTTAAGCAAAGTGGACTTTTGTCCTCTGTGTTTTGGGAGAAAGAGGAATACTGTACACTTTTTCCCACTGTAGGTTTCCTTTTGACCCCACACCTTCTTAGCTCTCCCTTCTATGAAGGAAAGTGTCATTAATCTGACCCAGTGTGTGACATTTACATTGCTGCATAACAAATAACCATGGGCTTCATGGCTTTAAGTAACATCCAATTATTAGCTCACAGTCCTATAGATCAGAAGTTTGGTTGGAATTTTTGCTTAGGGTCTCCTACAGCCAGTATCAAGGCATTGGCCTTGGTGGCTTCTTTGGAGGCTCTGGGGAGGAATTCCCTTTCCAAATCTTCCAGGCCTTTGGCAGGAATCAGTTTCCTTGTGTTTCTAAGACTGAGATTCCCATTTGCTTTCTGGCTATCAGCAAGGGGTTGGGGATGGAACGGGTTCTCTCAGCTTCTAGAGACCATACACATTCCTTGGTATTCTTCAAATACCATTCTCAAAGCCAGCAACGAAAAGTCATATCCTTCTCATGCTTCCAATCTCTCTGAGTTCTCCTACCATGAGCTAGAGAAAACTTATGCTTTAAATGCTCATGTGTAGGGATGCCTGGGTGGCTCAGTTGGTTAATCATCCAACTTTGGCTTGGGTCATGATCTCGTGGTTCGTGGGTTTGAGTTCCACATCGGGCGCTGTGCTGACAGCTCAGAACCTGGAGCCTACTTAGCATTCTGTGTCTCCCTCTCTCTCTGCTCCTCCCCTGCTCACGTGCTTTTGTTCACTCTCTCTCTCCCTCTCTCTCTCTCAAAAAAAATAAACATTAAAAAAAAAATTTAGGTGCTCATGTGATTAGGTCAGGCCCATATGGATAATCTCCATATTTTAAGATCAACTCATTAGTAACCTTCATTATAGCTGCACAATTCCTTTTGCCATGTAACAACATAGTCATGGGAACAACACCAGGAGACAAAGGTCTTAGGAGTCATCTTCAAATTCTGCCTATCCTGTCCAGAGCCAAGGATATCCAATGGGCTGAATTTTACTCTTAGGCTGTCTTAAAGACAAAACTCAGTTACTATTTTGCAGTTTTGCCTGTGGGCTACAACTCAGGGCCATTTCTGTCTTCTGAAGGCAGAACAGCCATCCCAGAAAACCTTTCTGCTAGATCAGTTTACAATGCCCCACAGGCCTGGCCATCCTGGTTCCACCGGGATGATCATTTAGTTATCCTGGCCTAAGCCCAGCTCACTAATGGCTCTGTCTTTGGGAGCCCTGCCCCAACAGGATTGCCCACTCACTCAGCTCTTGGAGCTGTGGCTCTTGGTTTCTCCTTCCACAGACAGATGCCTCCATGAGAACCCCATGAGAAGAAGAATGTCAGAAGGAGTTGAGACCCTAGACTCTGCCCTAAATTCCTAATAATTATCTTTCTCTATTTGTCTTGGCTCTCAGGAAGGTCAAAAGAAAATTATGCTTTTCTTTTTATTTGCACTAAAAAATCCTTAGCTTACATATCTTGGTACAACTGTCTTTATGCCCTTATCACAGGTTCTTGTTCCTTTATCCTTTTTTAATACATGTATCTTCACTGTGCACACATTCAAATACTTTTTTGAAGTAAAGAGCTAGATATGAAGAATTAATGGGTAAATGAAAAGATTCCTGAGGAAAATCAATGTAGTTGACTTTTCAGTTATGAGAAAGCTGGGCTCATTTTATTGTATCTTATTTTTTTAACTTCATCTGTATGACTCAGCTCTCTGCAGAGTGAAATGAAGGTTATATAAATACAGTCTTTAACAGAGAATACCAAGTTATTAATTTTAAATGTATTCAAATAAACCTATCATGTTTAAGAGTCGAGGAGAACATAGCTGTTGATTGTAGCACCTGAAGCATTTTGATGGTTCTGGCATCAGAAACAGGTCTTGGCTGTTCTAGATATTTTTGCTGCTGCTGTATAGATAAATTCCAAAACACACGAATTTGAATTTGAGTCTATGTTTGAATCATCAGCCCATGTAGACTCGACCTACTTTGTTTTGGTGTCAGATCTCATTGGTAAGCCAGCTAGCTCTTGAGTATCAGCATATTAGAAACATGTGCCTCCTTCCCCTACCTGGTAGACTTAAGGCTGGTTGACTCTTCCTTCCATTGCCCTCCTTTTGTGGAATTTAAAAGACTCGACTTGTTTTGATGTACAATCCTAGTCCAATTTGTGCCCCTTAGGATTTGATATTAGCATCTTTTTTTCCTTAAAAAATGATTATCCAGTTTCTTTACTTATATAAAGAATATTGTTCTTAGTACACAGTTCTGGGGTTACAGTAAGTCTGAAAGCAACCTAAAGGTTTGTTATAATGATCTTTTCATTTTACAGGTGATAAACTAAAACCCAAGGGGCTAAAATGACTTGACCAAGGTCATAGAGTTGATTAGAGACAAAGCCAGTAGTACATATAATCTGGATCTTCTGATTCCCTGCCTTGTTTTTTTTCTTTAACCGTAACTTCATTGCTTTGGGGAGTCCATGTGTTTGGTTTCTTCAAGGTAAATGAGATTTATATGAGCACTTCAGAAAGCTTCTCAAAAGAGAAATGAAATAGAAGTTACTGCATTCCAGGTCTTGGTGGAGCATTCTTTCCATTTGATCGTCCTGCATTTTGCTGATTCTGTGGGATTTTTTGCCAATCATTTTGCTAATGTCAGTGATTTTCCACAGTTTCTCACTTTTATTATATGGCACCCTTGCACATTTTAAAACATTGTTCTATTTTGCCACACTTTTTTTTTTTTTAATTTCAGCCTTTTAGCTTAGGTACCAGATACGTTTTACATTCATTTTTTTAGCATTCAAAATTATTTGTCATAGTCTTAAACTCAATGACATTTTACAGCAAATTTCTCAGGGTGTATCTTGGAGTTGATATAAATTTCTTCCTTTTAAGGCTGTGTTTCTGAGCTCCTTCCCAGCTGTGTACTCAGAGCTGTTGAAGCTCTTTGATGTCAGGGAAGTGGCCAACTTGGTGCAGGACACCCTGGGCAGCCTGCCTACCATCGTGCACGTGGACGACTCCCTGCAGGCTGTGAAACTGCAGTGCATCGGCAAAACCGTGGAAAGCCAGCTTTATACCAATCCAGGTAGGGTGGTGAGTCTCTTGAATGAAACCTTGTCTCTGGAAAGCTGTCACTTACCTCCGGTAGTCACAGGTCAGCAGAAGCAATTAGAAAGAGGAAACACAATTACTGTCTCAAAAGCATTGTGTATTTGGATGGTAGAATAAATGTATTAAGTAGCCAAATAGAACAGTCTGGTTATTAAAGCTTTATTTTTAGAAAGAATGAAAACCCTAATGATTAAATTACTGATTCTAATCACAAACTAGTTGGGACGTCAGGTATGCTTATTTTCTTGCCTAAGAGATTTCATTTTTTTGTTCAACAAAATTTAACATTTTATTTCGGGGATGCTTACAGGGACCTGATAGGATTCTTCTTTGTCTCTTTTGTTCTTAAAATTGTCCCTTCAATTTGTGTTCTGAAACTGAGTGAAAATTTTGATGTATTATCAGTTTTTATTTTATCCTAATAGCATGTGACCAATTACTAAATTGATTTTGTCGTATCTGTTATTAAATCCCATTGCCTTTTTTCTTCTAGTCTTTCCTGAAATAAATTACCAAACTCATTTTAAAGTTTAAGAAGTTTCTGTACTAATAGCAAATAAGCTTTTCAAAATTGATTCTATTGAGAGTTATCTTTCCACATGAATGCATATGTGGGTATAATATTTTTGAAATAGGGTTTCAAATATAGATAATAAAACTTTTATTACATATTTTATTGTAAAACATTTCAAACATACAAGAATAAAATAGTATCAGATGAGTAAATCATTAATAAATCTCTTTTTTTTTTATCATGCTACGAGATATAGCTCTAGTTCATTCTTGTTTATACTGTGGGATGATATTCCACTATGAATGAATTTATCATGGTTAATTTATTTTTTTCTCCTATTGATAGACTATTTGTTTCTGGTTTTTGGTTTTGTGTTTTGTTTTTTTCTCCAGAAATAACACTTAAGTAAATAAAAGAAAATTCAAACCTTCTCATTTCTCCCCAAGAAAACACATCTCATCCTGGAGAAAAGATATTTCTTGCAGTGCTTTTCAAACTCTATTCCTCAGAGCCTTAGAGGTTCTTCTGCAGTGATCAGGGTCTCCTCTGGGGTTGGGAACAGGGGAGTGGAGGGGTAGAGGTCCAAACCAGGTACCTGGTATGACTAGACTACCAATTATGCTTTTACCAAATGAAGAAAAGTTCATCCCATCTCAGAGGAATTGGTAGTTTCTGCTACATTTCTCCCTCACTGACCAGATAATTCTTTGTTCTAATAGAATCTGATACCAAAAGGGCAATACAGATAATGAAAATTGTTCTCAAACGGAAGGACATTATTTGAGAGGACTGTGTTCATTACATGCCTCTCCGGGATGTGTTCTGTCTGTGGACTCAGTGCCGTGTTGATTACTGATGCTTAGTTGGCAGTATAGAAACCAGGACTAAAAAAATACAAAGAGAAGTTGTTTCGATCCAGGAGGAGAGATATGGGTCTTTGTGGGAGGTGGTGAGATTATTTCTTGGGGTGGGAGGTGGAAGGACCCAGGAGACCCAGGAAATGTAGACCTTGGAGGGTCTGTGCTGGTGACCTTGGAGAGAGGCTCAGCCAGTGTTGGGAGGTTGGTGACTGTCACTGTGATGCAGAGGGGGAAGAGGAGAAGACGAAACCTGCCTCTTTTGTTATGTGGGGCACTCCCCATGGAAGATGATTATGGAGAAACAACCTCCGAGAAGCAAAAGCAACTCCCGATCTGTGGAATACTTAGAAGCACATGGATGCTAGTAAGAGGAAAGATTTCCATCACTGCCCCAGGGGGTTGAAGTTTGGCTTGATGTTGAGTGATTCACCATTGGAGAAGACAGAAACTTACCACGTATAAATGGCAATGCACTTTGAGAAAAAGGCTGTCTTCATGGAAAAAAATAGCACGCTTACCTGAGAACTTCCCAAGACACAAACTATACTCTATTTAAATTACCTGGGACCCCACACTGATGGTAGGGAAACCTGGAAAGTATTTCTAGTAACTCCGAAATTCTAAATCGGAAACTATGGACTTAGTCTATGGACGTAGCCTTTGTATATGACAGTTCAGTAGGGCAGAAGTACCAAATTCTTCTCCTTGGGCTAAATTTAAGGTGTCCACAGAGCTGCATTCCTTTGTGGAGGGTCGAGGAGAGAATCTGTTTTCTTGCCTCGTACAGTTTCTAGGGGTCACCTGCACTCCTGGGCTTTTGGCCCCTTCCTTTGAAGCCTGCAGTGTAGCATCTCTAGATTTCTCTCTGACTCAATTTTCTTGCCTCTTTCACCTAAGAAGACCCATGTGCTTACATTGGCCCATCCAGATAATCCAAGATAATCTCATCATCTCAAGATCCTTAATTTAATCACTTCTGTAAAGTTCATTTTGCCATTACATATTCACAGGTTCTGGGAATTAAGACATGGACATCTTTGGGAGACCACAACTCGGTCCACTCCATATGGGTAAAACAGACTCAAAACCAAGGCAATAGCTCAGCTGCATATGAGGAAAAAAAACAAAAAAAAACAAAACAAAACAAAAAAAACCACTTAGAAATCTAGGAGGTTTTTTTTTTTTTTTTTTTTTAATTTATTGAAAGTTTAAAAAATGAAACTCAGGGGTGCCTAGGTGGCTCAGTTAGTTAAGCATCTGACTTTGGCTCAGGTCATGATCTCACGGTTTGCGTTGGGCTCTATGCTGACAGCTTGGAGCCTGGAGCCTGCTTCAGATTCTGTGTCTTCCTCTCTCCTTCCCCCTCACTGTTCACACTCTGTCTCTCTCTCTGTCAAAAATAAATAAAAATTAAAAAAAAAAAATTTTAAATGAAACTCAGAAGTGCTGCACTTGTGTGAGTACACATACATCTTGGCCAGAAGGACGTTACAAAAGATACTTTCCTGATTTAAAATTAAAATCTACAATAGGACAAGGTAAAGTGCAGATGAGGACATTACAGGGTGTTAACAGGATATACATTCAATCAAAGATAAAGTGCTTAGTTCTTGACCATTCTTCAGATCATAGAGTATGGCAAAGACCGTTGCTACTCTGAGCTTAATTCTAAGCGGCAAAGAAATGGCTAGTGAGATAGAAGTGAGAAGAATCTGAGAACATGACTTTATTTTCTGAGAGTTCATAGTATCCAAAGAAGGAGTCCAGAGTACAGTTGGGCCACACTTTTGAGAAAATAAATTTCAAAACATTTTGGAAAAAAAGACCTTAAATGTTACAAACTCCTCAGAAAAGACAAAAAATTCTCACAGTTGTCTTTGTGCTAGAATCCTGCCTTAGAGTTCTCCAGAGAGACAGACCCGATAGAGGCTATGTTTGTGTGTGTACAAGGTTTCTTGTATGGGATGAGCTCAGATTATGCTGGCTGAGAATTCTGCTGTTGGTCAGCTGGAGACCTGAGGGAGCCAGTGGTGGAAGTTACACTTCGAGTCTGAAGGTCGGAGAAGACTGACGTCTCTGCTAAAAGACGGTCAAAGAGAGCACGTTCTCCCTTATGTCTCCTTTGGTTCTATTCAGGCTTCAGCGCATTGGTTGAGGCCCACCCGCATTGAGCAGGGCAATCTGCTTTACTCAGGCTCCCAATTCAAATGTAACACCTAGGATATTGTTTAACCAAATTTCTGGGCACCCACAGCACACTCAAATTGACCCATAAAAACTATCACAAATCCCAAGGAGAAAAAAAGCAGAGGATGCATGCATAGGTATCAGAATGATTATAGAATACTCCTGATTGAGCTTAGATTAAAAATTAATACAGAAAAGAGATGGAAAGAGGGACACCATAGTCAATACCAAAGACGGGTATGAGAAAACATCACGGGAAGAGTCAAGCCAGGTTGAGTTAAGGGTCCACGGACAGCCTCAGAGCTGGAGCCGTTTCATAACCAGGCAGAATTAGCCCTGTTAGTCACACCCCAAGTTCAGAGTCGAGGGCATATGGCCAAACCTGAAGGCCATAGCTAAGATTTGCAACCTACATAGATTGGCATTTGACATCTAAGTCATCTGGGGTCTAAGCAGACATATTTAATGTGTAAAAATTGAACAACTCATTTTTCCCTCTCTCCTCACAAATCTTCCTGTTTCCTGAGGGCCAGGAAAGGGTCTAAGTTTTGGAGAGGACCACTTTGGCAATAGCAGGAAGAGTAGAGCTGATGTATAGAGGTTGGGGAGGAAGGTGGAAGTGCCCCTAAAATCGTAGTTTACCCTAAGTTTTATTTGTGTGAAAATCAATGTAAATGGCAAGACCCAATTTAAACTGTGTTCTTACCTTTCTGCTGAAATCTTTAAATTGACTGGCGTGAGTAAGCACATTACATGGGAATGGTTGAAAGCTGTATCTTCTCGTTTCTTACCCATCTCCTGTTCACATCTGCACTGGTTTTCGGGGGGGTGGGGGCAGGGGGGTAACGGGCTGGGATGTGTGCCTTGTATCCACTGCTACAAGCAGCTGACCAATCTGCGTTGACATATGGGAGTAGCTGTGTTCCCCTGCTGGCTCAGGGCGATCACTGGCAGAGGGAGTCACTGCAAGCCAGACTGTGACAATGTGCTGTCTCACTTCCTGTTTAAGCCAGGTTAAAACATGGAGACACGGGGCTCCATTTCCGCTGCTTCTCCTATCCAGTAGACTCATGGGGCAGTTCATTCATTTATTCAACAAATAAGTATTGCAGCCAGACCCCATGCCAGGTATGATGCTAGAGATATTGTAGCTAGTGAAACATCCAGCCCCTGCCCTCAGTCTGCTGCTAGTTTACCATGAAAGCTGACTTTGAACAAGGAGTTATGATTTGATAAGATGCAGCAGTTGTGACCTGGGGAGGGAAGGAGGTCCTATGTAGTAGGGAGGCATGAGTGAGCCTTGGGGTTCATCCCACCCACACCACCTCAGTTTGTGGTCCATGTGCCGACGCCACCCTCACAGTTGTATTTCTAGGCAACTGGATATCTCCTCTGGGCTCCAAACCTGAGTAG